TCCAGTTATATGGCGGCGGTCTGAAAATAATCGAGTCTGGACCAGACAATCAATTGATCAACACCATGAGCATCGAACTTAAGCAATTGGGATACGATGACATGTGTCAACCAGGTCACCGAGCCTGACCACCCGACCCCGTTTGTCGCCTCTTACGACAAGCGTGGTTGCGAAAGACCAATTCTAACCCGGATATTCACGGGTATCATTTGAAATTTAAGACCTGCTCTAGGGGCGGTGGGGTAGCCTAGTGGTTAAATCGTTGGATCGTCACGCCGAAGACCCGGGTTCGAATCCCCACATGGGCACAATGTGTGAAGCCCATTTCTGGTGTCCCCCGCCGTGATGTTGCTGGAATATTACTAAAAGCGGCGTAAAACCAAACTCAGTCAGTCAGTAAGACCTGCTCTAAAGTTTTACAGTTGAATTTTATAAACAGCTTTTCAATATACATAACATGGAAATTCGGTGAAGCGTACGGCCTCATATATCGTGTTCTGTACTGTAACCATCTGTTTTCTCACTGAGCTGCCTGGTCAGGTGACGAAACGTTGTTCAGTCTTACATGGCGCGACTCCGTTTGTGTGCGACCCTTGAGGATCCGGGTTAGAAGCTTGTCGTATGATGTGACTAACGGGATCGGGTGATCAGGCTCGCTGAATTTGTTGACACGTGTCATCGTACCCCAACTGCATAGATCGATACTTATGTTATTGATCACTGGATTGTCTGGTCCAGACTCGATTATTTACAGACTGCCGCCATATAGCTGGAATACTGCTATGTGCGGCGTTCAAAAAACAACCAACCAACCAACCATCCGTTTGTGTGCGTGCTGCACGTTGTCCTTCTCTCGCACGAGGCAATCCCGTTCCTTTATACCGCGACACTGTATTGTTTCATTATAAGGCATTCGGATGTTCGATTTTACCTTCTGCTATCTGTTGCATTAAGACCGCTTGTTAGTTCGTAAAATCACAACCGAAAATGTAAAACATGGAAATGCTAGTGGGCTTTTCACATTTTCAACGGAAACCAAGGAGGAATGTTTTACTAAAATGTGAATCACAAATGGACGCTGGGGTGCTTTGCATTGTCTGACGAACGTAGGTTTATTCAAGCACACGCAGAAAACAAGCATATCGAAATCGTAAACGATAGCATATTGACAGTTCGTGGAATAATAGCCTGTATTTTGAAAATGGTTTCCGTGAAACTATATTCAAACGTCATGTGCCTGCCATTGGCATTCACCGACATTTTCATTTTATACCTGAATCGTAACGTATGAAGATCGATCTTTGAAGGATTGGTCTTTAGCAACACATGCTTGTTGTAAGAGGTGACCAAAGGGATCGGGTGGTCAGGGTCGCTGACTTGTTTGACACACGTCATTGTACCCCAGTTATGTAGATCCATGTTTATTATGTCAATCACTGGATTGTCTGGTCCAGATTATTTACAGCTTACATATAGCAAGAATATTGCTGAGTGCGGCGTTAAACAAACACCACAAACCTGAATAGGTTAATTTAACTTACGATTATTTCTACCAAAGTGAAGAAAATTCACTTTTATATTAAATAGTGACGTATGGACAGGTACGCTAATTTAATTCCCCCCCCACATATATATATTTACTAATTTCAGCATATGATCGAAATATAAAACTGCCAGCCGGTAAAATGAACGTTAGACACATATTGATAAAATAGAACTGCTATTTGATATACTAATGTGATTTAATATATGACTTACGCCAAACAATATATCCAGCTGTGACGTAGCTAGTTTACGCCTGTGTGTGTAACAGCCTGTTTGTACATCCTATTGAACAGGGTCCATCCACAGTTGTATCATCCAGCGTGTAGTCTCATCCTGGACGCGTGGTACCACAATGGTAGGTGCTGCTCGATGTGTGTTCACGGAAGTTGCACAGCAATAAGCATGTTGTCTGTCAGTTAAATTTTCTTTCGAATCTGTAACTCATGGGCGATGGCGAAATATTGATTGCAGCGTATGCAGATCTTGATTAGGTCAGTGAATCGTAAATTTGCAGTATGCATATAGTGCACGTGGTTGTGTGATGTGGTACGATAATTTTACGACGTGAGTTTATGCACCTACATACGTGACTTCTTAATTTGTTCTCATGTGAGCGCGTCATACTGTTTTGAGTATTTTCTTTCTATTTTGTTATATAGGTCACCGTATAACGCTGTGTGCGATTAAAACGCATTGTACTGTTATGTCGTGTTATGTAGTATACCATATCACCTATGAATTTCTCATCTGTAGGAAAACTGAATAATTGTAGCATGTGATGCAGAAAACAGAAAATTCATTTTGTGAAATATTCAGTATAAGTAATATACTACCCATCAAAAGTTTAGACTCACTAGTGTAAATGGAGCCACTTACTTGTCCACTGTTCTAAACTAGCTTTTTGCAAAATATTCCATACTGTTTAAAGGTACTGTTTAGTTATGAACTGGTGTATTGTAAAACATATTCGTAACATTGAAAAGATTATTGTCATGAGTTCAGTAAATGATTAAAATCTGTGAAAATTGGCGAATTCTTAACAAAACTTTACACCAAAACGCATCTGTTCACATGCACGACATTTGCTCATGCCTTTCGCAATTTGAAGCATCATCCTTGTGCAATTCATCTGCATAAGGTTTTCAGTTGGTTCCCCCAAGTTGGTGGAGAAATTCATCTTCGATGTAACCACATACATATACATAACATATAGTGAGTGCTTTAAGTGAGTCTAAACTTTTGATGGGTAGTATATATTTCTCATTTGTATTAAAAAAATGAGATAATGCAATATGCAGTATTGCTTATTATTTTCTCATTTGAAAGGAGGAAATAAATTGTATGTCTCTCTATCCTTCTTAAATCTTTAAAAATACAACCTGAAACAAATATGTATATTACAGCCCTCGCATGTCTAATATTTGGCAAATCTAGATTACTATAGTTTCTGTTTGAAGAAAATCTTTTGGTTATTTTTCATTATATTTTCAGAATATCAGACGTTTGTTTCAGTTTACATTCAGAGACAAGATGTTAGTATAACGTCGCTTAAATACTCCAGGTTTTCGAGATTCATATTGGTCAGTGGAATACTCTTGAAGCAAGCGACCAAAATACCAGACAAAATCATTTGTCCTTTAACCCGTGAAGATCTAAGTTAGAATTGGTCTTCAGTAACCCATGCTTGTCGTAAGAGGCGACTAACGGGATCAGGTGGTCAGGCTCGCTGGCTGACTTGGTTAACAGATGTCATCGTATCCCAATTGCGTAGAACGATGCTCATGATATTGATCACGGGATTGTATGGTCCAGACTCGATTATCTACAGACCACCCCCATGCATGTAGCTGGAATATTGCTGAGTGCGGCGTTAAACAACAAACCAACCAACCACTTGTCCTTTAGCTCGGGACAAATACAAATTTAGGACCATATTTCATCCATCCCGAATCTAGTATTTTTCACATAGACCATGCGTCCAAATTTAGATGGAGAATAGTTACGAAATACCAAAGGTGTCTACCGTTGAAATACATGCGAACTCTGCGCAACGTTTAACTATACAGTGTTCAAATGCTTAATTGCCAAGCGAATGCAATGACTATAAAACATTGATCGTGTATCACCAGCCAATGGATATATATCATATGTCACCAGCGAAAAGGCAATATGAGTAATTCAAAGAGCCATAACATCACGGAGAATGTAACAGGTTGGACTTGATGTGAATACCCGAGCTGAAAGTTGACACATTGATTCAGTTTGGTTCAATATACAGGCGTATGCTCGTGGAACAAAAATTGTAAAACTCAACAGAAAACTGTGTTTTAGTTTCTTGATTTTAGTTGACTCGTTTTCAGGCCGCTGTCTCACGGCTGGGGTAGTGCTTCGTTGCGACTGTGAGTGAGTTTGGTTTTACGCCGCTTTTATTAGCAATATTCCAGCAATATTACGGCGGGGGATACCAGAAATGGGTTTCACACATTGTATCTATGTGGGGAATCGAACCCGGGTCTTCTTTAACCACTAGGCTACTACATAACTGAAATCATATATGAAATGAATCTGAAGAGTTTGTAATAATGTAATATAGGCTTAGCAGTCGCTCGTTGTTTAGGGACCCGTGAAGATCCGGGGTAGAATAGGTCTTCAGCAACCCATTCTTGTCATAAAAGGCGACTATGCTTGTCGTAAAAGGCGACTAACGGGATCGGGTGGTCAGGCTCGCTGACTTGGGTGACACATGTCATCGGTTCCCAATTGTGCAGATCGATGCTCATGCTGTTGATCACTGGATTGTCTGCTCCAGACTCGATTATTTACAGACCGCCGCCATATAGCTGGAATATTGCTGAGTGCGGCGTAAAACTAAACTCACTCACTCGTTGTTTAGGGATCAACATCTGTTAGACGTTTACTGAAAGGACCATCGATTTACGTACCGTAATGTTAAGTGCTTGCAAGTGTTTCGTTAATCCTGTGTTTATCCAGTCGAACGGTGTTGTTCCGATGAATTATGTTTCACTGTATCAGGTATCGTGCTCTCCATACCATAGCCAGGCACGCTGACTTTGTTGACACATGTCCTCGTATCCAAATTACGTAGATCGATGTTCATGATATTCATCACTGGATTGCCTGGTCCCTTCTCGCACATTTACAGACCGCCGACGTATAGCTGGAGTATTGCTGAGTGCGGCGTTCAGTGACAAACGAACATACCCTGATAGGGTTTGAGACATGGCTATATTATGGGACCTTGCGTTGTACATGTGTAAAAAGTACGATTATTGTGCAACGAGAGACATTGTGCAACAAACTTGTGTGACGTACTCAGTAGTATTCCAGCTTTAAAACAAAGTCAGATTAATGTTAGTTGAAGGTCGATCACGCGTGACCGCTGCTTGCGTATCTTTTATGATGCAATTTTTCACCTGTGTCGTATTTGTTTTCAGGGCTCGGGAGAAGACTTTGACGGCTATGGCCGAGCGGTGACAGAGGGAGAGGCTGAACACAGCTATGTCCAGGACGCCCAAGCTGGCCTCTCGCACGTTCTGGATGAGCTGAAAGCCTTTCAGAAACGTATGTACATATCATTCTGTCCTATATACGTCAAGAAAATATAGTTATCTTGTTTAAGTCAGTAGACGAGCGAGTATGGTTTTACGCCGCTTTTGATATTATTCCAGAAAAATTGGCTTCACACATGGGGATTCGAACCCGAGTCTTCGGCGTGACGAGCGTACGCTTTAACAATTAGGGTACCCTATCGCCCTATATTTAAAGTATGTATCTACGCACGCACGCGCGCAGTTAGAATCAAAAAGGAGCCCAGAAAATTAAGACATGCACAGTCATTCTAGACCTTTTTTCAATTTATTTTCTATCATCTGAGAAAGGACTATGTGCTCGTATGTTAAGCCGGAAACGTACGGCGCGTCCGTGAGCTTGAACAGGATTTCCGTTGAACCACACAGATAGCCCGACAATATACACTTTTTAGAATTCTATATCAAAGAAGGAAATGCATATATGGACATGATTGTTTGTAGTTCGCCGAGATAAAGCGATACTATTTCTGGCAGTGGTTTTAATAACGAAAACAAAACCGCACAGCATCAAAACAACAGACCGCCTCCGTGGTGTAGTGGTTAGAGCGTCCGCCCGGAGAGCGGAAGGTCGCGGGTTCGATCCCCGATCGCGTCATACCAAAAGACGTTAAAATATGGTACTTGTTGGTCCCTGTCTGGCGCTCGGCATCAATGGGTACAACAAGGACTGGTCGGCTCGGAGTCAGTATAATGTGTCTGAGTGGAGTATTCATGCTTCACTGCGGCATGGTATCTCAGTGGGCTAGCACTATAAAACCAGCTTCAGTCTGGGCTAGTACAAGCAGCCGCACATACACATACACACGCATGCACGTCGTCATATGAGCGAAATATTCTCAAGCACGACGTTAAACCCAATTTCACCTCACCTCACCTCACCTCACCTCACCTCAAAAACAACAGACAAAAACATCATGAACCGGCTGATCCTGAAAGTGAATTATTATGAATGTTCTGTGAAGTGTTGGTGATTTAGTGATACAGGGATATCATGGTATTTATTAACGTGAACAAATACAACCTCAATTTTAATGAAAACAGTGCCTTAGGTGTCAAAATTCCAAGATGGGCGATATACTGACTGTTCTGTAACTCTCCGCGCGATTGAAAACCTAATCACGTGACATACGCGTAGTCATGTGATCTGATCCTATGACGTCATTAAAAACGACAGATGTCGCTTTTGTCAGCCTTAGCTCTGTGTAAGGCATTATGTTAAAACATTTGTATTTTACTTTGAAATAATTAACTGTGTAACAATATTATTTCACAATGTCGTTTTGATTAAGTCTAGTATGACGTAGGTTTGTATAAATTGACGTTCAACGGGAAATGAACGACAGCTGGGACCCTATCCACAAAACGTTCGTAACACTACGCCATTCGTAAGCCCGCGATAAAGTATAGCGTTACGATAGGTTGTATCATTACGAAGGCTATATGGATCGTGACCCTGGCTTGGTCGTGTTCATCTAGGCCATGCCGACCGCTTGTGTCACCATTGCGACTCACGCATTGTGACGTCATAGACATGTGACCGTGCCTGACGTCACATGTATGCATTTGATTTCATCTTCTGTGACGTCAAGATATTGTTGTCAGTGTGGAATTGGGACTTCATACTACCACGCCATGTGGAATGTGTATTTTTAGTTGAGCAATGTCAACGTGTTCACAGATGTTCTTTCCTTGTAAGTACATATTGATTCGGAGCCTGGAAACACGAACTAGAACTTCAGAAACTGTATTGAAATGAATGAAGTTTGACTTCAAACTCTCGAATAACATTATGATCCATATCCGCTATAACCTGTGAAGATCCGAGATAGGCTTGATCTTCAGCAACCCATGTTTGTCGTAAGAGGCGACTAACAGGATCGCTGACTTGGTTGACACATGTCATCGTATCCGAATTGCGGACATCGATGCTCATGATGTTGATCACTGGATTGTCTGGTTCAGACTCGATTATATACAAACAGCCGTCATACAAATGGAATAGAAAGGGAAAACCCCAACAAAATAAAATAACGTTTATCAGCTTATGTATTCTAAGACGATCAAATTCCTTTTTCAGAAGAAAACAAAGTAACTGATTTTACTGATTTTATTATAACATACATATCTTTAAAATATTAGAAATCCATTTCAGTGAACGCATTCGTCCGTACACGTTGAATGTATCAGTGATGGTGAATTATCAAAATGAGTTGCCTTTTTAGCCCGCAGCAGTATTATCTAAGGCAGATAACTCTATTTAATATTTACAATTTATCAGTTCCCGGACAGCGCGACTCCATTCGTTTTCGAGTGCGGCGTAAAACTAATCTCACTCCATTCATTATTCAAACAATTCCGTCCTAATTTATCCTCACTGTTTGAAAACCCCAACCCCAACCAGCTATTACGTTTTAATTTCGACAAGTTAGACGAATATCGAAAATGAGGGTACTGTTCCTTTCCGGAGTAGCACTCCAAAACCGTTGAATATTTTTAGAAGAAACTTCAGCCATACAGCTGGAATATTGCTGAATACAGCATTACACAACAAACAAACAAACAAACGACTAGAAATAGAATATGCCCTTCCTCCGTATTGTATAGCCTAGTGGTTAAAGCGTTCGCTTGTTACGCCGAAGTCCCGGGTTCGATTCCCACATGGGTACAATGTGTGAAGCCCATTTCTGGTGTCTCCCGCCCTGATATTGCTGAAATATTGCTAAAGACGGCGTAAAAACTCACTCACTCATCCAAAGACTTTAGTCACAATTATACTAATCTTAGTAACGCTGCTTCTGGCGTTGTGGGAGTGACGAACTCGTGTCTTTCCGAGAGAAGCCGAACATGTTCTCGTAGGTTACGGAAAGGGGCGAGTGGTGACGAATGGTTGGGTTGGAGTTGAAAGCTCCTTCGTGTTTTACGTTTTTGCATCTTGTGTGTATAAAATAATCAACTAATATGTTTATTTTCAGGTATTGAACATTCGATCCTTCACACGGAGAAAGGGGCCTTTATCTTGGCAGGCATACTGTGTTCAATTGCCATGGTGGTGTTAGTGGGTGGAGCCCTCTACTGTCACTGGTTTGGGAACTATGTGCCAAAATACATCCGGGTGTCACGAAAAGATGGAAAGGAAATTACGATGGAAGCGGAAAAGGAGGAAAAGAATGGACACATGAAAAGCGAATGATATATCAATATATCATTAGTATCAAAAAGAGAAAATGTGATAGTTTGAAAAATAATTCGCATCTAGAATGCACTGATATGTTTTGTAGAGCGCGTGTTGAATCTTGAGTGAAAGTGGCATAGATTTACATATATCTGTTTTGTTGTTGTGAAATTAGTGTTGACTATATTCATCTATTTTGACAGTGTGCAAAGTCCATGTACATTTTGTGCCTTGAAACGAATTGACATGCCTGATCTCACGTATTGTGTGAAGATTATGCGCCACGTTGTTACCATAGCAACCGAACACCGTGATTTATTCGGTTAGATCTATGCATTGTTTTCCACGAAATATGCCATTTGAATGTGAGCAGTATAGATTGTATGAGATGAATGAACCCGTTGCTGTAGAGTCTTACATATCTGAAAGTACCGTTGCAAGTTTAACAAACGTAAAAACGTTATGAAGTATTCCAGTTAATGACACACAAAAAAACTGTTAATCCATTTGTATATATCTGTTTATAACCTACTACCCACGCACTTTTCAAAATCACACGTTTTTTGAACGAAACCTATATCATCGTCACCATTTTTTCACCATCTTATTTTTCATAAACACTAAGCCCAAATATTTCTGTTTTCATCGTAACTAAACCGCATTAGTGAGCATCTTATGTTTAAAAAAATGAAAATTGTTACGATCGTATACGATAAACGGGGTTCGTGCCTGTTTTTCGTGGTATATTAATATGTATCAATATTGACATGCTCCCTCGGACATTAGTATATTCACATGTATAGCATAGCTTGACATTTGTGTTTGAACTAATCATTCATAACGTCCTCAAGATCCAGCGACCATGTGATAGCCCGTGTCAAAAATAGATGATCAGTCAAAATCTTCGACTGTGTGAAAATGACATCTCGTTGATGTTAAACACGAAAGTTTGAATGTACCTTCCTACAAACTCTCTTGATGAAGTATGCAACGTTTTCAGTGTCTTTATCACAGATGAAGTCGTCATGTAACATACGGGTAATTACACTCATAATTAAACTGAATTTCTTGTGATAAGTTGTTGTGAAACATTTCCGCATAAGTGTATACATCCTGCCTCGTAGATTTCATGTAGTAGCAATATTCATAAAATATGCATATATATATGATATATATTGCACATAGATATTTTGATAACTTCATCATAGGTAAACAAATATTAGCGGTTGCAATGGGCTGAGGTGACGTCACAACTCAAAAGAGATCGATTATCGTTAACTATTCTTGCTGAAAACAATTTTTACATCTTTATCCTACAACAGATACAATACATCTGTAACAGCTCTAAGTCTTCGGTAGTTTTAGATTATTTGATATAAGTCATTAAAAATTGTAGGGCTGGCTATCGTTAAAGATAATAGAAATCGATAATCGTTAACTAAATATCGATCGATATCTATAAATATCGGAGACGTAACTTTTAGAAAAATTGTGTGAAAAAAGGAATATATTTTATCTATATTAAATATATATTAAAACTTCTTTCTATCACAAAAATTAATGTATAATATATATCGATATCCCAATTTTCATAGCGATGATCATTATTTTCCCTATCGACGATATTTCCGATTACCGATAATTTTAGCAAGCTCTACAAAACTGACTCTTTATGTTAACTTTACAAGCTCAGTGGGAACCATACAACAGTGACTGTAATTTCACAGGGAATTTCAAATTTCGGATAAACAAAAGGCATATGAGAATATTCCTTAACATCCAGAAATGATTTAGCCCGGTTCGTGATGCACGTTGACATTTGTTAGTTGTCATGGCGCCAGGATTGAACCATTAAAGTCAGTATTCGGTGTTAAATGCCAGTTGTTAATTGAAGATATTCCGCATCCCAGATAGTTAGGACTTATTCTGCACTATGTGTGAAGAGTTTAGTCCTTCATTATTTATTGATATACACCCTGTTTTATTTTCTATGAAAATTTTCTTTGTTTGTAAATAGAGGGAGTTTTATACTATTTTATTGAAATAAATGAGTTATCTTTTATACGAGCCACTGTGGGTTTGTTATTTTTCGTAGGATTCTTGGTTGTTTAACGCCGCAATCTCAGCACTCAGGGGTCTGTAAATAATCGAGTCTGGACCAGACAATCCAGTGATCAACATCATGAGTATCGATCTACACAACTGGGATACGATGACATGTGTCAACCAAGTCAGTGAGTCTGACCACCCGATCCCGTTAGTTGCCTCTTACGACATGCAAGGCTTGGTGAAGGCCAATTCTAACCCGGATCTTCACGGGTCTATTTTTCGCGGTAGGTGAGTTAGTCCCTTTGAAGAACGTATTATTCACGACGTAGCTGGGTGGAGTAGAGGAGACAGGTTCTCTACTTTTCCACCCATTTGGTGTTTGTTTGTGTTTGTTTGTTGTTTAACCCCACACTCAGCGATATGGCGGAATCTGTAAATAATCGAGTCTAGACCAGACAATCCAGTGATCAGCATCATGAGCATCGATCTACGCTGTTCGGATACGATGAACCAAGTCAGCGAACCTGACCACCCGATACCGTTAGTGACTTCTTACGACAAACATGGGCTACTGAAGATTAATTATAACCCGGATCAGGTCGGTGTAAGAGTGAGTGAGTGAGTTTGAAGCCTATTTCTGGTTCCCCAGCCGTGAAAGTGCTGGAATATTGCTAAAAGCGGCGTAAAACTAAACTCATTCACTCATTCGTTCTGAAAATAATCTTTACATCTTTGTTGCACAGCAGATATAAAATGCATCTGTAACACCCCGACTCTCTGTCCAAAATAGGCGACCTGATTGCTGACATTGTCGAGAATGCGCAAGTGTTCCAATTATTGCAAAAATCTTCCTCGAAAACAACACAGCGACCATGAGCCTTTAAACACGGTCTACGTAAGTGTTAGCTGGTGTTATGAAATCTTTGTCCGCGATTTAGAGGTGTTAGAAGTGATGGGTTGCTAACACGGTCCATATCGGTACCATGTTCCTCATGAATGCTACCAAGATCAAACACGCACGGTAATAACATTTTCCATTCAAACACCCTGCACATTTTAGCAGGGACGGAAATTGTTTAGACACATGGAAGGGAGATAACTCTTCTTCCATTGATGCCTTGTCATTGGTATGAGAACTGTGCAAGAGATGCACTCTTGTTCTCGACTCAGCAATTGTACCCACATCGTGGAAAACCCCCAAAAAAAAAAAACACAACAAAACAAACAAAAAAAAACAACAACAAAAAAAACACACAAAACAACAAAAACAACAACAAAACAACCTAACAAAAACCATAAACAAAACATAAACAAAACAACAAAAAATCCAAACAACAACAACTAAACAGTTAGCAAAAGCACAACCAACCAACCAACCAACCAAACACATACAACAATACCAACAAACCATAACATACTAAACAAAACAAAATACACAATACTCGATGTTCGGTGTTTTTATTGCTAAGTATAATTAGTAATTATATATTTATGTTTTCACAATCATAATGCAATCTTATTGCGATGATAAAACCACGCACGCGCACGCACAGGCACGCGCACACACCGCGGTCTTCAGCAACCCATGATTGTCGAGGCGAGTAACGGGATTGGGTGGTCAGGCTCGTTGACTTGGTCGACACATGTCATTGTATAACAAATCTTTACATCGACTCCCAACATCGGATTGTCTGGTCCCGATTCGATTATATACCGACATATACCTGTAATATTGCTGAGTGCGGGGTACAAACATTGCGCATGAATAAACGCGAGACTGCAAACAGTTCCAAATTGTCCGAGATGAATGAGAAGAAGCTGTTCGCCGCAAACAAAGCGAAACGCCTGGGAAATTCCCGTTGATCATTTGCCATGCGCGTTGATGGAAATATTTTACGAATGCTTGAGCGAGTGAATGTGCAGCTTATGGTCTGGAGGGAGGTTCTCAAACCCAATAATAATATGCCGTTTTAGCATTCAATCACCACATGGTCAATAAACCTTACACGGCGGAATCAACTAAATAAAGTTCTTATCAGTCTACATCACAGATTCCGAGATGTGCACAGTTGTGAATAATACCGAGAACACGATGAGATACACATTCACAGACGGACCACTTGCACAAGGAGGCATGGACCACTTGCTATTTGAGATTTGGAGGTGGCGATGAAAGGTAAATAAAGTTTGAAAGTTTTGTAACCATTCGATTTAGCCGCAGGGTTAAAACATTCACGCAGGAATATCTTTGTGTCTCGTATACTTAATTTATCAAAAGCTATTGTGATTCCAATCTTAACATATGGAACTGAAATATGGGGCATTGAAAATAGAGAGAGAGAGAGAGAATGAGTGAGTGAGTGAGTGAGATAATATTTAACGTCACATCGGCAATATTTCAGCCATATCATGACGAGAACATATTTGACAATGAAATGGAATATATGTATATAAAAAAACTGTCATCAAAGGACAGGAGAGAGAGAGAGAGAGAGAGAGAGAGAGAGAGAGAGAGAGAGAGAGACCCCTTCTGGTTCCGCTCCTGAATAGTTCTATGTTCGCATCCAGATAATCGCTAACTATAAGGCGGGGAGGTGGGGTAGCCTAGTGGTTAAATCGTTCCCTCGTCCCGGGTTCGATTCCCCACATGGGCGCAACTTGTGAAGCCCATTTCCGGTGTCCCCCGCCGTGATATTGCTGGAATATTTCTAAAAACGGCGTAAAACCATACTCAGCCAGCCAGCAGTCAGCTAACTAAGGCAATCGACGATCACAGCAGGTAGTGGTGAAGGTTCCTTGTGCTATTGGTGGGTATCCAGTGAGGCTTCCACAGTCTTGAACCGACAGTATCGCTGGTACATACTGGTGTCACTTTCATCATGCCTATGTAATGCTTGATAATTATATACCTGCGTTACCCACACAAGTGAGTGAGTGAGATTGGTTTTACGCCGCTTTTAGCAACATTCCAGCAATATTAAGGCGGGTAACACCAGAAATAGACTTCACATATTGTACCGAATCGAAGCCGGGTCTTCGGCGTGACGAGCGAACGCTTTAACCACTAGGCTACCTCACCGCCCTTATTTGTGTATGAGAATAATTCTATATGATTTCAACAAAAAAGAGTGTTGGGATAGAAATGTGTTCTCTGAATGAGTGAGTGGGTTTAATTTTATAGTGCTTGTCCACAGAGATTCCACATCGCAGTTTTAAATATTCCAGCTGTATATGGCGACAGTCTGTAAATATTCGAGTATGGGCCAGACAATCCAGTGATAAATATCATGAGGATCGTTCAACAAAAGTGGCATACGATGACATGTCTCAACCAAATCAGCGAGCCTGACCACCCGATCCCGTTAGCCGCGTCTTAAGACAAGCATGGGTTGGTGAAGACCAATTCTAACCCGGATCTTCACGAATTTGAAACAAGAATGTCTAATTATATATAGCATAGGGTGGCCAAGAATAATCATGGTTATAACTTGTATCTAAATCCCTTTGATCCTAATGACTACCGCCCTCATACCCATGTGTTTAATGGAACTTATATCGCCATATGTGTCAACATCTGGCACTGATTATACTGCAACTATACAGGTTGTTGCACGCCAGTTGTGCGATAACTCGAATAAAGCGTGTACCTATAGGACTTGCAGTAAACCCATAGTCTGTGATGTATTTCATAACATTCTGAGATTGCTAACTGCCTAGAAACCTGTGTGAACACAACTTATTATTTCTGACGCACAAAGGCCCTGCCTTTATACCATATCTACGTCGTCCTTCTTCTTGTAATACAAAAATATCTTTGAAATTGTGTATACATAAAGCCGATATACCAAACAATACCGAACATTTTGCAATTTCAACACATTTTTGAGAAAGTTGTTGTTGTAAACTGTGTAATTTCCTTACAATTATTTCCAAAACTGTGACATATTCCTGTTATCCCCTGACGAGTTCCGCCGCCAGAAACACACACGCACACGCATGCACGCACGCACGCACGCACGCACGCACACACACACAAAAGTTTCCATATTGTTTTTTAAAAGCACATATTAAAAGATATACTTCTACCAGCGGAATGTTTAACTAAACGTTCCCCCGTTCATAGATATTTGTAAATTACTCCTATTCCAAACTGCATCAATTCATGCACAATATCACACCCAAACTGGAAAATATTCATGACTATATAAAAAACGCGATACATACGCAAAAATATTATGATTTTTATCATGCAATAAAAAATACTGTTTATCACGTTTGTTATCAGCAAATGATTAATCTGTTTGATTGAAATTTAAGAAGTTGATAAATAATGATGATATGACACTTTATGGGTGACAACGTCTTTGCTGTATTATTGATGCGACGGTTCGGTACAGTTTCGCATCACTCTTGCTTGACAACGGTTAAGAGTCTATACCGAAAAGTCGCTTCACAATAAAATAAAGAATTCATCCATGAAGTATCATACCTTTTCTAACAAATGACTAAGAAACTATTACATCATCTCTGTCTATACATTTATCCCGTTTTCTGATACAGACATTAATTCGGAATATTTGTTCCTACTTATAAATGTCACACATGCTTGTGGGCCACATATTATAACATGTGCACAGTATTATTCAATAAATACCTCGGCATTAGGGAAATGTGTTTCCTGGGGATTCACTATATTTGGACACTCCTGACTCTTGAAAAAATACCTTTGATATCAACAAACTTGATATTTACTGCAGAAAAACGTTAAACTTGCAAACAACAGACGTGTTTACATTCCCCCTTAGCACCGACGTACACAACTATACATAAAGCTGCCAGTGCAGAAATAGACAAGTGGCGCTAAGTCTGTGAGTTCCTGCTCGTGGCCTGATTACTTCCTCGGAGGGATACATCCGTGCCACGATACTCGGATCTGCCAGGGAACTATATTTTCGTTGATATTATTTTAGATAAACTGCCACGTGCTCTGAACGTGGATACATTTTGCAAAAACTGGG